TAACGCTATCGGTCGACGCTATCTTTCCTTCTAGCTAATACATAACAGGCATTCTATCTGTCTGCTCTGTCGTCAGGGTCGTTCTCTTTTGTTCTTTTTTGTGGATTTTACAGGTGCAACGGCATTCTATCTGGGTCATGATTTCATGATTTTGGCGCCTTAGCTGTAGTTGGCTGACATCATCTAAAATCGGCATTGGTATTTCCCAAGCCGTCATTCTAACGTTCAGTCCCGGAGTATATACATACCGAGTTTGAGACACCCATTTGGATCCTTCGTCTGCAAGCTGTATCGTCGAGTCCTTTAGTCTGCCGCTTTTGCAGTGTCATGGGTCAGATCATATTGCTTTTGATGTAAAAAACTGTACCACAATTTATGCATGAGTATGAGTAATCATCAAGACATTTCAATTGCTCTTGCCTGCTGCGACGGATCCTCACAAATTGGCAACCAGGGCCTTTGTTGACAAATCGGGCTGTTAGAACATCTTCCGGCTGGTGCAATGCTTCTGGAGTGATGTTATGCAAAGCTCCACAGGCTCAACAAGCTCGAACACAGGACCACAGGACGGGCCGCTAGGGTCATTCTCCCTCATGACCTACGTCTCAACCACATGACCACGTGCAGAATTCGTGCGTCTCACAGTCAAGGCACAGAAACGCTGAAATCTGACGCAGTAGCAGAAAAAAACACAACAGGCTGTTTCACTGCTTGGGATGGAAAACCTCAATCTTGAACAGCTGAGCTGTGGCTGAGGGCAACATGGCATGCTGGAATTTGGAAACCTTCCTTCAAGGAGTCAAGCCCTCAAAATCCATCTTGCGAACGTGACACCCGCGTTGTGAATTGTCAATGGGCTCCACTTGCCGAAAGACCACCTGTCCACAAAGGCTGGAGAGGCCCAAGCCACACAAGAGGCTCGAGCCAGCATGCACAAGAGCAAAGCCTGCCAAATAGAGCCCGACTCGTTGGGATCTGCCACACGTGGCCTTGCGAACTGGGATGGAGCAGGATGTTCTTCGAGTAGAATTTCACACAGCTGCGACTTTTTCACGTCAAATTCAATTGTGGTAGCATGGAAAGACTCAACCTAGCATGACCTGCCCTAAATACAATAGTTGGAGAGCAACGACCATAGATAATCAAAGCATAAGGTAAGAAAGTGAATGTTACATTCTTTCACGAGTCCAAAATGATTGCCCAACTCCTTGCTGCAAAAGTCTTGCTCAAACCGAATCACCAAGCCCTATTATGCGCTGCCTATGTGTCCGTGGTGCAGGTAAAATAGCAATGGTGGAGCCAAAGCGCTCGGTCTGGAAGTTGTTGGGAGCCCTGGATGCGGTTTGAACAAAAGGGTGAAATGACCCGAACATGATATATGATTCTTTCAAATGCCTTGCGATCCGCATGGGCGCTGGGTTGGTCAGCCTGAAACTTAAACTACGTGCTGTTCATATCGTGTGGGATGTTGTCAAACACAAAAATCAGCAGCTGACTATGACTACGACTATATCATGCCTTGGATTCAATTACAAGCCAACAATGGCCTGTGATGGATCAATTAACAATTGTTTGCTGAATGATCTGATCTGACGAAAGCACCTGATCCAAAACTTGCTGCTGAGAAGTGTTCGGAGTGCTTCATATCAATATCATCCAAACTGAATCAAAAATCTGTGCGAATGTCAAGGCCCGGCCCAATTGTAGGATGGATGTCGATACCTATTCGCCACAAACAAGCACAGCTTGCAACCTCTGCTTCACGCTGATGTAACAGTCAAAAAGGATACAAAAGGGAACTACACAGCTCTTACAGTTGCATATCCCTGATCGATTGTCATGCTGAGGGAAAAGAATTCAAGACCCTCAAAGTCCTGCTTAACAAATCGTGCCTACCTGCCCCACCCGCCCCAGAAAATGACCCAGCCAGCAAGCTTTCATTGCATATGCCAAGGCTATGAGAAGCGGATGGTCTTTGAACTTCCGAGCGCGCATGACTTGGTGGCAAAAGGCTAGTGCCCCGGTTACAAGAGCTACACGCTTCTGTGCGTGAAGGCTTCCCAAATCCTTTGCCACACCAGAGGTTACAATACTGCTGCATCTGTTGTGCTGTGTATCTTGTCAGCCACCAAGGAAGGATAACTGATAACCTTCGCTTCATCCGTGCCACCCAGTTTGGCAAGTGGCACATTCACAGGCCTTAAATCTGCCACTGGCTTTGCATGGCCTGCTGAGTGTGTTCCTGCCCGGTCAGTTGGACCTGAGGCCACCTGAAAGGAACAAGAAAAACATGTGTCATATCTGTTCACTACTGTAGATCTTTTTGGTCCATGTTCAGAGCAATTTGCTTTTGAATCAGCCTAGCAGGAACATCTGTTTTCTTGGTGCTCTGGGCAAAACTGCACTCTCGGCTCAATGCATTCAATGCTGTGCCGAGGAACGAGGCCAATGACAAAAAGGAAGCAAATCCATAAAATCTGAGAAACTGAGAATGCAAGAAGCAGTGGGAATTGAGAAACTGATAAAGTCAGTTGGAAAACAGAATTCATGTCTCGTTCAGCTTTTGATCCCTCAATGATTAGAGCTTTCCAGTGTCCAACCTGTCACTGTCACTGTCACTACGTGGTGACAAGAAGGGCAAGTCTCACAAACAAACTATGGAGCTCAATTGCTTGGAAAATTCCAAAGCTGGACACCTGATGGAAAAGAGAAACGTTCTGACGGAATGGCTACGAATAGCTGCCAATTGCTAGAGTTCAACAGCAATTTCTTCGCAATGATGGTTGCCTCGGGCATAAATCTAGAATCATGAATCCAGCGCAAGAACTAGACTTGAGTCCTGAGCAAAAGGCAGCTGGATTTACAAATTCTATTGAACATGTGGAGAAATCTAGTGACAATAGTCAGAGTCATTCAGGCATGCAGCGCGGATCAAGCACTTGTGGCAAGCTGGTGTTGCTATTCGACTTTATATAGCTGTTGGGAATCAGTATTCGGTGGTTGAAGCCAATTGCTGCGTCGCCAACGTGTCCAGGTGCAGCAGCAGCAGCAGCAGCAAGTGCATGCCTGAATAGAATAGACATTTTTTGAGAAATCTGGACATGATCACGCAGTGCATGTAGCTGCTTGCACTGCGAACGGCAGGTTTGGTCCGCTGGCGACTCAGCAAAAGGACCTAAAACCCAAGACAACAAGAATGTTGGTCTCTGGATGATCCATGTATCTGCGAATGTGCCATGATTTCGTGAGCAAGTCATGTACAACTAGCAGATCGGCTTGGAGCCTCTGCCCCGATTCGGAGATATTGGAAAACACCTGGGTGATAGCTCTCCAACACCCAAACCAGGTGGACCCTTTGATGGAAGTGCTTGGAAGCACAAATCAGGCATGCCACTCCAGAGTGATCTGGTGACGAACTCTTTGAGTGATTGAGCTTTAACTCCACACAACAGGATATTTCAGTCTTTAGATGTCTTTAGTGCCTTTTGTCTTTTGCACATTGATTGTGGACAAAGAGTATGGACAAGCTAAACCGATGTTGTGAGCAGCTTCTGGTCATCCGGTCGTCCATTTGTGATCACCCCTGCAGTCACATGCCAGTGAAGAAGACGAATGGCAGAAATGAGCCACAACGAGCCACAAATGGCACCTGCTCAGAAAATATCAAGTGAAAGGCAACAACACCTCCCGAGTACGAGTCAGGTGTGGAGTCAGCCAAAGAACAACTTGTTGAAAAACTTGACGTCAGGTGGAATGCTGTCACCCATCCTCAAATAAGGGCATAGCTACTAGGGGCTCCTGGCATCGCTACTAGGAGCAAGGACGCTACTAGGGTCTCCTGGCCTTACTACTAGGAGCAATGTTGGCGATGTCATGTTGCAGGATGTAGTGGCTCTCAGACCATCACAGCTTCTTCACACTCCCATGGTCACAAATGAATTCGTCACCCTGGCTGTGAGTAGGATCCCGATTGAACAGGAGGCAGAGGCTCGGATAATCTTACAAAACGTAGTGTCAAACAAGTCTTGCAAAATCCGGACTTGTGTTGAGAAGGTGGGCAACTAGAAGATCAACGGTCACAGCCTTCTTGTGTGGAACCTGTTGAAACTGTACAGCAACAGGAAGCTCCAAGAAATGCTCGGCAAACACATTCTCTTCTTGGATCCACGGACCCTGCATAGCATCCGCGGCATCTGAAGAAAAAGGTTCTGGCGAGGAACTCTTGCGCGGCTGAAGGCGGCGCCATCTTGGCATCTTTACCATCCAATCAGGCCTGAAATGAGAAAGTGAGTGAAAGGAGTCATGCCACTAGGAAGCTACTAGTAACAGGTGCCACGCTAGTAGTAACAGGTGCCTTACTAGTAGTAACAAGAAGCTACTAGGAACAAGTGCCTTCCTACTAGCAAGACTGGGAATGGTGCGGGGCCGATCGAAGCGAGAAAGAATAGGTCCGCATATCACATTCAGCTCAACCCCCCACCATGATATTGTGGAGACTTTTGCAAGAGCTGAGAAGAACCAAAGACACTAGCTGTTAGCCAAAATAATTTCAACTCAAGAAACAAAACCCGCAACCTTGTAAGACTAAGGCTTTTGCCCTTACCATCAGCTGAAGTCGCGCCGATAGAGGAGAAGGAATTCCGGGTAGCATTGGTCCTGGAGGGCAAGAAATCCAAATCGTCTCTTGCAAAGACTGCAGTTCACAGCTGAAGATTGAAACGACGCTGACTCTGGGATGAAACTTCTGTTGGGCATTCAATTTGAGGCGGATTTGTTCCTTGTCGTACACCACCACTTCACCTGAGATGGCAGTGCAACTGAAAAATATGTATAGGATTCTGTTCGAACCCGTCAACGAGCCACCGCTACAAACAAAAGAAAACCAAAAACGAAAGGGTGGACATCCACAATCACAAACAATGACGAAAGGCTCAACTATGTCTACCACAATTCTCCCTCCCTTTTTGTGCTGTCTGGTGCTGTTGGGTGCTCAAGCATGGAGCGGCGGCTAGGGGCTTTGCCCGGTCATCTAGACCTTCTGTTGGCGCAAACGCCCGATCTGTGACGAGGATTGGTCGCTGACACAGCGAGAAAGCACGACTGAATTGTCATCTAGCTGCACGTGGTGCACAGTGCACATAGCGCGAAAGTGCAGTCAGAAAAGTCATAGTTTCGGCTGTCTTTGCTGGCCTGCCCGTGTCTCCCAAGGGGTACAGTATGTGTAAAGTGTGTATGTATGTATGTATGTATGTATGTATGTATGTATGTATTTCTTTCTTCTAGAGTTGTGGTGCTGGGACTTTGCCGGTCTGCTAGGCATGTTGCCTCAGTGCGGTTCCCTGGCTCAGAAGGGCGAGGTTTAGAAAAAGTCCACCACCATGGTGTCGTCCTCTGGTGGGTCCTCCTCCTCATCCTCTGCCTCTGCCGGAGGGGTGTCCGCTTGGGTGTACCGCAGCTTCTTGGGAGCCGGTGGTGACATGACTGGCTGGTTGGTCGTGCCAGTCTCTGGTGAAGCTGGCTCTGGCTGGGGTTCATGGCCGGTTGGTTTGGCCGCTGGTGGGCCGCCCACAGTTGTGGCTTGACTGTGCGAGGCCTGGGCGCTAAAGATCTGAAGCAAGGTCGGTGACCGTTGTGTGTTGCCTTGGCATTCCTTGGAGAGTGCCTTGGTCAAAACCACTCGGTCTGCGGCATCTAGGTGACTTTGTGTCCCACAGTTCAGGCATTTGATGCCTTTGCCCTTTTGCCAGAGTGCATGGCTGGTGTGGCCATCATGGCCTTTGACATAGCTTTCATCGATGCACCTGCTGTGAAGGAAAGCCTGGAAACTCTCTTCGTTGGTTCGTTTGTGAACTGAAAGGCTGCATTTGGCGCACTTGAGGTAGCCGGTTGTCTCTTGAAAGGTGTGCTCGTCGGCTGCTTGGGGGTGTTGCTGCTGCACTTCAAGCAACCGCTTGATGGTGGCGGCTCTGGTGACCTTTTGGCCAACTGGTTTGTCAGGCCGAAGGTCTGGTTCAGGAGCCTCATAGGAGTTCACAGTCCTGTTGGAGGAGTCCCTCAATGATTTCAACCGTAAGGGCCTGATGGACTCGAGCATGGCAGGTTTGGCATTGGTAGCCACTCCGATGGGGCACCCATTGGTGCTTGTTGGGCTGCCATGGCGCCTTGCACTGGGTGATGAGGCGCTTCTTGTATTGCTTGGTTGTGTGCCCTGCACTCCGTACAGGTTTGTCGTGGAGGTAGTGTTGTGGATCACGGTAGATCTTTTCGAGTCTTGCTGCAGCTTGCTTATAGATCTGCAGGTGGTCTTGGTCCAAGGTCTTCTGCCAGTCCTCTGCTTGCCGGTCATACAGTGTGGAGGCTCGTTCATAGGCAGCCAGGGTGGCATCTCGCTGCCTCCTCCTTAAGTGTGGCTCGCTGCCCGGTGTGTCTGGTGTCCTCTGGTTCTTGTGGATGTAGAGGGGTGTGATGCGGTGGAAAAAGTGGTCATCAAAACCTTTGGCCAGGTCCTCGAATCCTTTCCGCTTCCTTGGGTTGGTCCACGCCTCCCAAACTGAGCCCAACTGGACGATCACATTGATCGGTGTGGCCACAAACTGGGCCAAGGTGATGAGCCCTTGGAAGAGTGCACGAGCTTTGGTCTGTGGACCTGGTGCCATGCCCGTGATGGTGCCCTTCCTCAAAAGTGTGCCCAATGAGAAGGTGCGCACGCAGAGGGCGATGTATGTATGTATGTATGTGTACATATGTATATATACATATAATGTTCTGGTGAGTCTAAGTCTCTTGTGAAAGCTCTGGGAATTGATAAGTTGTTATTCCCAAAGCTGTTCAAGCAAAGACAGCCACTTGTTCTTTCTAAAGCAGCTCAAACGTGGCCACTTGCTGCCCAATTTTCAAGCTGCAAGGGTCGAGGATGCTACAAGCGCATCGAATGCTGCACTACAACCATTGCAAGCCAATTGCCAATCCTGGCCAAGGCAAGGCAAGAGCTCTATTTTGCACATCATGGGATACGTACAATCAAGTTCAAAAAAATGTTGCTCTGTTGGGACAGGCGAATTACGAACAAAGACCAAGTGGGGTGCTGAAGCCAGCAGGCCTATGGCAAAGCTTCTGGAACTTCCGTCAAGGCTTGGCCCAGGGGGCCAAGGCCTTCACGGCCTCAGAAAACAGATGGAGTTCAAGAGTCCTTTCGCGGGAGAAGGTCAAGAAGCGAAGGAGAAGAACTAAGTATATAGACTTATGAGTGACTACGAAGCAAAGTAATAAGTGGCAAAGAGTAGAAAAGGGACACAAAAAAGCTCGGGTACTTGAAAGAAACTCCCCAGCTTAAGGGCAGGGAGAGCTTCCTTGAAGTTGTTTGCTTTGTTTTCTTGTTTTTGTGGTTCTAGCGTTTTTTGCTAATAGCTACAACATGCTACAACTGTCTTCCAAGTGGCCCTCCGAATTCATGTGAATTCATGCGCAAATTTTCTGGGCGTGGATTTGGTAGGATCATAACCTTCGGTATCTATGTTTTCCGTTTTTGGAAGACTGGTGAGCTGCGTGTCATGTCTACGTAACTTGAAGACATCGTTGTTTACGGGATAAGGAAAGTGTGGTTGACGTACGTTCGATGAAGAAAGAGTGTGCGTTTCTCTTTAGGGGGTCGCGTGACCACTTGAGAGAACTCGGACGTCTGGTGGCTAGCACCATTTGTTGAAAGATTTCCCAGTTGTTTGGCAATGGGAACCCATTTTCATCTCAAAATTCAACTGTAAACGGGACAAACACGCAACTGTCTTTTGCAAAACGCAGTACTTTGAAGACGTGCCTTAAAATGCCAGACAGCCGAAAACGCTGCATAATATATAAGATTATATAAGGGTTCTCAAAACGTTCACCGTGCCTTGGAAAAAGTACACGTTTCGCGCGGGGTCGTTGCGGGCCGCGTGACCTTTTTTTGCGTTTGTCTTTTCGTTATTTAATTAATTCAAATGCTTTTTCTGTTTGTTTTTTCCTTTTTGTGTTTTAAAGTTCGGTCTCTTCAATGAAGGCCCCCTTTGGCTGCGAACCGAAGACAGTGATGGTTACAAACTGAGTTCTATTGCGGCAGTCGATGAAACTTAGGGACAAGACTTGAAACTTGCACTGCAAAACGAAGATTGAAACTCCTGAGGGCAGGACTATTTTGAGTGTACCACACGGATTGTTTTCCATCCTCTTTGTGCACAATCACATCTCCTAGGCTTCGCAGCTTCTTCCCTCCCTGAACCGAATGGTTTTAACTCTTTAAGGGCGATTTTCTTTCAGAAAAACTCTCTCAAGGCTTAACTCTTCCAGCTCGCAGAAAAGGCAAGTCTGACAGCACAAGGTTCCATCTTCGTCGAAGCCTTTCACGGTGCCCATTGCGCCACACACATAGTGCACACGATCGCCTACACTGAGAACACGTGTGGAATTGCCTTGGCAGGTGCGGCTTTGCTATCCAGTCTGACTCCAGCAGAACTAAGGCTTCACGCAAAGGAGCTTTCAGTACATGTGTGAAGAAGGGTGGTGAGGAGTCTGCTCCTTCCAAAACTTCTAGCATGGGTCCTGGCATGATAAGCAGAGCAGTGATGGCAGCGATCTCCTTTGACACCTTCAGCAATGCCACGCTTAAAGGTGCGGGGGTGGCAACCAGCTGACGCCTAGGCGGGGCGGCGCCTGGGACAGCGTAGCGAGCAGCGATTGCCACCTGCCTGCTCTGGCCCCTCTGGTCCGTGGGCATCTCGCGGAGGCTGCTTTGCAGCTACCTGGGGCTTGTCCTGGTTATTGGGGTTCGCCTGGACACTCTTTAAGTTTTTCTATGTAGGGCTTCGAAGGCAACATCCGGCACTGGGAGCGGTCGCCCCCTGCTCCGTCATCGGCAGCTGGCCAGAGGCTGCCTTTGGCAGGACCCTAAGCATCTGGTGGAGCTGCTTCGCAGCTACCCGGGACTTGTCCTGGTCCCTGGGGCTCGCTTGACACCTCTTCTAAGGTAACGTCAGCCACTGGCAACGGTCGCCCCCTGCTCCGTTAAAACGTCCAGGGCCAGAGTGTTTCAGCGTGGCGAGATCGAGGTTTTGGCGTGGTCCATTGGCTGCCTTTGGCAGCTACCTTGGGCTTGTTCTGGTCGCTGGGGCTTATCCTGGAGCAACGGTTGCCCCCTCCTGCTCCCAGCGCCATGGCGTGGTCCAGCCGGCCATAGGCTGCCTTTCGCAGATAGCTCGGGCTTGTCCTGGTCCCTGGGGCTTATTCTGGACACCTCTTTCTATAGGGTTTCGAAGGCAACGTCAGGCACTGGCCCACGGCTCTGGCACCCAGCGTTCGTTCACATTGCGCGTGTGTGCCGGTGCTTGAAATCACAGGGATCCCGTTGGATTGTTCAGTTGACTTTCTTTGAACTTGATGCAGGGGTTGGATTGGTTGGTTGATTCAGCGAAACCGTTTTGGTACACAGATGTGGGGGTACGTAGATGTCTTTTCCAAAATTACACAAGCCCAATTGTCTCAGAGCTATATGTGTTTAACAAAATGTTTTGGAAAAGTTCTGAGCCAGAAAGGTTGCACACGTACTACCACGTGGGCGCAGTGTATAAATTGCTTTGTTGAGATCAAACTGTTATTCAACAAAAGGTTTTTGAAAATATGTGATCCTGGTCTGGTTTGTAAATTGAAAATTGACTGTGAAATTTGGTCATTGGAGGCTTTGACTGAGAGTGAGTGTGAGAGTGGTGAGAGAGAGTGAGACAGACAGAGAGAGAGTGCGAGAGAGAGAGAGAGTGGACTAATGACTTTGA